TGGTAACATTCGCAATACGCGTGACGTCACGTTTTTCAACAAGGATGCAGTCAATGACGTCAGAAGTTTCCAATCCATTTATTTTATTATCCATGCATGAACCATTTTACTGCTGCCAAAATTTATAGCTGGTAATATATCGTCGCTAAGATACACCAAACCAATGATAATTTTAAAGAATTGAATATCAGATCACCTCGATGGTAGATGTGGTGACAGAACTCGGGAAGTAAACGATTTATTAGTTCCTTCTGTCTTGGTAAATAACTCTTACTAAGCAAGCTATACCACAGATGTTACATTGTCGCAGTGTATTTAAAATTACGGTGTAATATGGCGCTCCACTGGGAGGATTTTGCCCCAGCCGACGGAAAAGAGGCATCTTGTCTTGAAGTACAATGAAGTATAATTCACAATTAGAAATACATTTGTTGACACACTACACAATGCGAATATCGAAGCTATCTAATATACACGTAAATTTCAATAAATAATTTTGCCACTTTTGCAATCATAATGGATTACAGGTCTCGGTAATCCGAATTATTAAATGGACATTTCAAATAAAAAATGCTTCCATTACTTAAATAGTGTTCCTTGTGTTCTTTTATATTAGAACGTTTAATCCACTAATTCATTCTTTACGCAACTCATAAATCCAGCCCAAAGGCCAACTTTATCTTCTCGGGCCTAAAACAGGTTAATGCAAAGCACTATACGTTAGGTGGCCGATATAATAAGTTTCGAAAGAAGACCATTAATTTTCCAGTGCACAACTGCAACACTGTAGTTCGAAAATTTTTTTGACCTTTCAATTCCATTTTGAGGGAAATATTCCATTTTGCGACATATTCTTGCCAACCCCAGAGCGGGATTTCGTGAGATTTTGTGAAAAACCGTAAGATTTTAGAATTTTTCTTATTTATTAATTAAATGTGTCAAAAAGCAGTTTTTTATTTAGATCGAATTTTTAAAATCATGAATAAACATACTCCTCATAAGTCTAAACATACTCCTACTAAACATATACTCCTCATATTAAGTCTTGGAACAGAATTCAGTGTCATGTCATGCATTTCATTGGAAACTTTCAATGGTTGTATTACCTATTATAAGCCTATAAATACACTTTAAACAGATTTCCTCAAAAATCGTGAGACCACGAAAAAAACATAAAAAATCGTGAGAGTGACTACTGCATTATGGTGATAAAAAATAAGTGATGTGTAATTCATGACTCAACTCACCGTGAAACGTTTGTTAACCCTGTCCTTCATTAAACCCAGAAATTCTTTCTGACTTAATTTCCCGTCACCTACAATGGAAGTAAAGACGAACGAATGCAAACACCGTTAATTCATGAAATATAACATGTGAAAATAGAAAACAACAAATAACAGAAATGTAATTGAAAGATCGTTCCCAAAATTATGCATACTAAACAGTTTACATGATTGTTACATAATAAAAAGCATACCATCAATATCAAACAATTGAAATACAATATTAACAATATGATCCCCCAAAACTCCTCCAGTTGCAATCAGAACAGCTCTCTTGAACTCTTCTATAATTACAATTATAATAAAGTATAACATGAGATTCAAACAATATAAATTACTTTCATGCAGTGATGCAGGCCCATGCATGGTTGCATTTTCACAACTGGTTCGGTCTAAAAATGTATATAAATTTGCGAAAATTGCATCTACAAAAAATCTACATATAGTTATAGAAACTACTGCGAGAAAGGTGTTCCTCTGACGCTGCTGCCAATTAAGCCATGTCAATGTTCTCAAGAGAATCTTATATTATATAATGAAGACAGAAACTTGCATGACAGATCTATATTGTTTGTAAAACAGCGGACAGGTATTCTAAACCTCAAACTACTGCATGATGTTGACCATGCAGCATATGTATTCGACAAAAGAACTATTACTGTACTGCATGTACCTTGAGTAACGGGTTGATTTGCAACATTGTAGATTTTGAGAGCAATTGAGAATTCTTCAAGATTATTAAGAAATTGACCAAATTTTATATAATCCTGCAGATTGACGTTCTATAAAAAACAATACCAGGCAAACAATTTGAAAAAAAAGTTAAGGCAAAATATAATCTGAACATCCTAAATCCTAAGATATAGATCAAATTAAACAAGACAAAAATGAATAATAAAATGGAAAGATGAGAAATAGAAGGGTTTTACGATTACGATTAGCATTTCTATAGCGCAAATTTACATGTGGATATGATCAAGTATTATACGCTTACCTAATTACATACTTAGACTTGTTTTATACGTCGAATTTCGGTTGCGTCGAATGCAATTTAAACAATAGATAATGAAGCTTAATGAGCTTTATCATCTTATAGTCATTATCTATTGTCTTAATTCGTAAAGATCGCGAATTCGAAGATCGCGAATTCGCGAGATCGCGAATTCGAATAAGAGCCAATTCATTCACTAACGTCCAGCAATATATTCACGAAACTAACCACGACGAGGAACTTGAGATTGTGGCAGCAGTGGTAGTAACTTCTCAACAACAAAAGGTGCTAATTTGTTCCTGCTATCGTCCACCTGATTCTACTTCAAATTGGATAGATACATTCAACAGCTATCTTAGCAGAGCTTGTGACCTATTCGACAATGTCATTATCTGCGGCGATTTCAACCTGCCAGATATTGGCTGGGACAACACCATAGCAAACAAGACGAACGGCCACCCTTTCATCGAAGTGTTAAACGATCATTTCCTAACTCAAGTTAATAACTTTCCAACCCGCGGAGATAACATTCTTGATCTTCTGAT